TGGTAAAATAGAANCTGTACAGCTATTAAGGTCACATGATGCTAGATATACAGATTTTGATAAAGGTGGATCAACTCCTATACATTGGGCTGTTGATGGAGGCAATGTCAAATTATTAGAATGGATTGTAGCAGACGGTGGTGATATCAATATCAAGGACAATAACTGTGGTTGGACTCCATTATTACGATGTGGTAAGTTATAACTTTTAAGTACAACTGTTAAGTTTCCTCTTTTGCCATTCAATTCTAAAATAACTGTATTATAAGTAAAGCTATCAACCCATCGCAAATCTGAGGAAAATCTACTTTTCTGTGAAACCTAAACAAATGAGATTTGGTAACAATTGTTTTACTCTTTGAGCAGAATATTGAAACCCTTTTATATTGAATTTGATACTTTACGGTAATTGTTGTATTTGTAGCATCTGTAGGGGGAAATCGTGAAACTGGTTTAACATTGTTAATGAATGGAGCTGATATCAATGCCCAAGATAAAGATGGAAAGACAACATTAATGATTTCAATATTAAATGGAAATATTGCGTTATTAGAATTATTATTACAAAGAAGAGCTGATATAGGTGTTAAGAATGAGGTCAGTAATTTATAATTGTGATAAATCTATCTATCCTATCCATATCACACGCTATTGATCTAGTTCTATACATTAATCACAGCATTCTTATCATCTTAAAGTTTTCTTAACATTTTATGTGTATTAGGACACTAATATCGATTTGCACCATTTCAACTAATACTAAGCATTTTATGATGTCACTATTGCTGTGGGGGCCGTCGTAGACCAAGTGACGCACCAACACATCATCGACGTATCAGCATAGTTAATGCTAAGACCAAACGTACCGGTAAAATATTTAATCAAGAAAATGTTCACAAGCACAGTTCAGTACAATCAATATATGTTTTCATAATACTCATTTCAGCAATATACATTGTTCTTCAACATATTTCAGTATGTAGGCCTATTATGTGTTCTTATTAAACACATGTCAACTCAATAAGTATCGACGTAACAACGAAAGGAGTACCACCAAAGGGTCATTCTAAAGTTATCGACGTAACAACGAACATAGTACCACCAAAGGGTCATTCCAGCATATTAGGAAGTTTCAGCATACATAAACCATATCCCATTTACTAATAAACAAGTATCCACATAATTACATAGTTCCCTAAGGAATACACATTCAATGGTTGAACATAAGTTGAATGTCTTAACTTGAACTGAATGTCCTTACTTGAATTGAATGGTTTTGCTACAAAATATAAAAATGACAATCATAAGACACAACTCACAATTATAAGAATCCACAGGCATTCGTAGCAAAATACAGAATCTGAACTAACATATACCAATTTGCAAAATGTCAACACTAATAGTCAGTCTTAACTTCTGGCAACAATATACACATGATAACATAATGAAGTTGTAACCTTATCTTAAAATTAATAGTTCTTACAGACAACTTAGACTTCAGAAATTCAAGCAATGCACGTGGTAATGAAACGGATGCCTTTGGACTACTGTCAGTAAAATAGAAAATTCCTTTGAAGTACATTCGAGAGCAAATTCTCAATAATTACACATACATCCAACAGAAAATGTTTACAGAACATAATTAAAGAATACCTTATTAGAATATACATAAATAAATTGAAAACTTACAACTTGTGAGGAACTATGGTCGAAAATAAAAATATCAAAAAGTTTAGTCTAACTTTCTAAGATGGCGGCAAGAAAAACTAGCTCAAGGCCGTGTGCACAATTTGACCTTTGACATGTGATCTGCGACCTAGCTACAATAAAACCTTAGAAATCAGGCCATATATAAACAAGTAATTTTTAAGACACAAAAATGCAATTAAACAAAAGAAAATGACGATTCTGCCGTAACAATTGCAAAAGCTGCTTTTGACATATAAGTACCTTTGCAATAGTGACATCATAGAACACATGGTCGAAGTGGAAGTGCAAAAACCACAGATGTCTGACTGAAAATTGAAATGGTGCAAATTGATGCTATCATTGTGCCCGATACACATAAGATTTTCAGAAAAACCTCTTTATTGTTGTATCTAGTAGTCTAATTTGCCAAATTCAAGAGCAGTCATTTATTGAAAATTAATCTAAAATCCATTAGTGCCTTTGAATATAATATGATTGAAGATCTTTGTATCCAAACTAGATCTTGAGAAATGCTTTCAAATAATTTGAAAAAAGTAAAATAATTATTATTGAGCAGTTCAGGATACATAGGCATTTTGTGCATTTACTTAATCTAAATAATAGACTAAGATGCCATTTAACTGTTTATGTTTTCCAAGGGTTCGGATTTGTTATTTTTTCTCTCAACATATATAATAGTGTAATATAGTGACCAATAGGTGTAACATAATCCTTACTAACAATTCAGTGTGACAAAAACCACTAATCTTAATCTGAAGTATGACACATGAAATTATGTATAAAATAAAGATTTGGAAATCTGTAATAATGATAATAATATAAAGATTAATTTTAGGTAGTTTGTGCCAGATAGATGTCACACCTGAATTTAAAATCATGTTTAACAGTTTCAATTGGGGTACATTTGAAATTATATGCACATGTAGTACAAAGTTTCACTAATTTCATGGTGTTATAGGTTTAAAATATCTGTTCAAAAATTTTCCAATCTTTTTAGAATGTAGGTTAAAACTATTGAAATAAACACTCTAAAATAATGTAATAAAATATTTTCAAGTAGGTGTGAAGTGATTGATTATTCTGAATGGATGGTACTAACTCCAAGTTTACTATTTCATATCAGTATGAACTATTTACTTATTTTGAATGAACAAGTAACACCTGTCACAGTTACTTATATTGCCTTTTAATATCTCTTATTAAGTGGTAAATAACCATTAAAACTTTATTAAACATATTTACAGATAATAATCCTAGTAAATTACTTGTTTCAGCATGTTTGACAAAATAGAATTTTTTTTCGTGGGAGTCTGTTGGTGTAATCTTGCTTTTAAATTGCTTGTGATCTGTTTCTTAAATGAAGTTCTAACTTTGGGTAAATGGAAGTTAAAAAGTTTAATCTCACTCAATAGATATTAATGTGGAATAAAATTGCATCCTTTTCTTTCATATAACATGTATGATCATTTTGAATAATCAACATCTGTTATTCATTCTCAAAAGAGCTAGAGTTATGACTAACTATCTAAATAAAATATTTAAGGTTCTGTT